AAATTCAACCAGAGATCTCGCAGACGACGCAATAGAACAGGAATACATCACCAACCTGCAGGCGGCTCAATTCACAACGAAACGAAATAATGAATCGGAGGATTTTCAGCGGTCTACGTCAGCAACACAGCACGCCGCGGAGTACAGAGAATCCTCTATTATCAACCTACGTCGAACCAAGTTGATGTTTACGAACGAGAAAAATGAACCACCGAAGCAATGATAAAAGTGATCTAATTGTTATTGTTTGGCCTATGCACTCGCAATAAACTACTTCTTTCTACTCTCTTCCGACGTCCAGCGGCTACGCAGGAATCACTACAAAGAAGACATACAATTTTTATAAATACAACTTGTGCTTGTTGGCTTATGACCCATCAACCAGTGATTTTGCACCGATTCAGAAGCGTGACGACTAAGTTTCAAGCGAGAGACCACATCCTCTCTCGAATGATCTTCATAACTTACTCAGAACCATTTGGTCCATGCATTTTTCATATCTTGGATCCGATATGGACCAGAAAGACGAAGCCTTGTTTCATACCATTAAACAGTACCAGGCTTGACTTGCCATGAAGCAAAAAGGGCACTGCCATGATTGATGGTTTTCTCCCATCCTGCCGCTGCGATAGCTACCACAGTTTCTCGATGGGACAAAAACTATGTAAAGAATTTGATAAGAATAGGAAAAAACTCTCCCAAGGCGACAAGGAGTTCCACCAGATTGCTGAGTAGGCGACAAGGAGTTCCACCAGATTGCTGAGTATTTCGTGTAACAAGTTCATGAATCAAGAAGAAGGAACAAAGAGTAGGTACATCTGAGAGGCAAGCTGGGATTGGCAAACTCGATCAATGGAAACCCAATCACCGAACGCTGGTGTCCACGTGAACCTTGAACTTTGAACTCCGGAATTTGATTGACCCTGACCACTGGCATTATGGATTCTGTACTTTGATTGATTTCTGGCTCATCATGGGATGATGGGCATCCCTGATGAGCTAAATACCAAAGCGCAAAGTCCCATGTGCCAGCGTTCGAGTGCATGACGGAAAGAGCTTATACAGGGTTGTAAAAAAGAGGCTTGGATGGGAATTTTTCATTAATTACTCAGTTGAGAACCGATTTGGGTGTTACGTGGATAAGTGAATGCATTTGTAACTCTGTTCATATTTAGATACTCAATTGTCAGCGATATGGTTCAGTTAGAGGCACAGTCCACGTAAAAAGGTTGCAGAGATTCCTCCTCAGAATGAAGTCCTGACCTCCATGGATAGCAGAAGAGAAGCTGTCGGGTCGAAAAACGGCCTAGATAGGGAGAAATAAGAGCCCCAAAACCAGCTTATCCGACGTACACACCACCGGCGGTCCAGTTTTCACGGAGTCGTAGAGGCTGTAGAAACTGCACCATTTGCATCTGGATGCACACTTTGCACGCAGGAAGCTTACTGTAGCGAGCTGTACGCCATGGCAATCACATGGGAAAGCTCTCTAATTAACACTTCCATGCTGTTTTCGTCGCCACATTCTCGTTCATCTCCTAATTTGACCATGAGTCTCATAATTTTCTGAATGCGCCGATTCGAGCGCTTTCCTCTCCACCTTCGCCCTCTTGTAGACTATCACCTCCATTATTCGTCTGGACTAGAACGTAAACTCAAGATCATCGTAAACAGTAACTTCAATGCTGGAACCCAAGTATGTAGTTGGTATAGGCATGGCCTGTATGACGATGATTTCAGACATTGAGGCTTTCCAACAGCCGAGAACACTTTATAAATATAAGTTCGCGTTGTAATTTGATGGATCAAGCTTCGCACAGAACCCCTCACCTGATTATGTCTAATGCTTGGTTACCAGTATAAATCTACCAATACTTGAAGGGTGTTGGAATCCCGAGGAACTTCCAATCTCTATCAAATCATGCGTGTGATAGTGCTCCACTTGGATAAAACTTCAATAGGAATGAAATCGGTTAGGACCTTCATTTTCGAGCCCACATCTGCGTTCTCTCGAAGAGATGGGATCCCGCTAATCATTTCCACCTTGTGCGTGGTCTTTAGTAATTAAAGAATCCTAGAGCTCCTCCTTTTCCTGAGCTATTTAAAAAATCTATTTCCTGATTCGAAATCATCTTTCTACTTCGTTCTGGGATGATCCAGCTGTTAGGTGCTGAGACATTTAATCCGTAAAGTCTGAACGCAGGCTCCTCTTGTAAGTCGAGCATTAATATAGTGACAGGTCTCTTCAAAACCGGCTAGTGAATTCGTGACGCCGACTTCTTCCATTCGACTATCTACCTCTTCTCGCCTTCATGGGACATCAATCGTTTGGGTGAACAAGGACCATCGAAGTTCATGAAGGATAAAAGAGTGATTTAAGGAAGGCGAAAGCCCACAACACTGCCAAAATGCTTTGATTCCTGGCTCATCAAGAGATGATGGGCATCTTACGTTATAGTCAGATATCAACGTGGAGAATTCACTATGGTAGCGGCCGAATATACGAAGGAAAGGGCTAACACAAAGGCCTAAATATTGAAGGTGAATGCTAAAAAGGTCCAATTGATTGCACTGGTTAAAAGTGTAGGAAACATCACATCCAAAAATATTTTCGTGGGATCAACCAGTTCCTGAGAGGTAGTTGCTTACAACGCCCCGGTCCTCAACTTCCAATATTTCGGATAATCGGCAAGCTCGCTCCTTCTACCGACTATTGATAACCTTCAGATATCAGTTCAGCCATCTCGGTAAATGTCAATAAGCAAACATCCGCTTCAATCTTTAGGTATAACAGAAGAGTTCGCTCTTGTTGACCAGAGCTCTCACTATAATATTCATGCAGTTTCTGCCTAAGCGTCATTCCCACAATTCAGAATGGAGCTGTGGAGCTCATTGAAACATTTGTCTTTGGCAACTTAGAAGTCTCGAAAACTAGGGAGTTCGAAGGAAGGAGGACTAGGGTG